GATGGCGGCAATGCGGTTGTACGGGGCCCACTGTTCTTGGCGTGTGAGATAGTAACGGCGAAAATAGTCGTCGAAACTTGCACAGCCTCGATGCTCGGTCCGGTACTGGGAAGCAGTGCAAGGAGTTTACTCTTGGCTTTAAAGAACTCCACTTTGTTAGATTGAGTGAATAACACTTTTATCCATCCTGTAAATATGCATAATTTCAAGATTCAAAAGGTTGTAAAGTTAAAAGCTTATAAGATATTTATAATCAAACCTTCGATTGCACGTCTCCTTTTGTCTTCTTTGGCACCAAGATATCCCCAGCTTGTCAAAGATGGCTTTTTGACAATGCCATGAACACAACAACTTAGTGGTGCTGTTTTCTGGGAAGACTGTGCTGTATCCATTCCAAAAGCTCATAGTGTCGTCTGATATGAAAAATCGCGGCTGGAACTCTTTTTAAACATTTCTGACCTCTTCAAAGAAAAAGGCGCACTCTTCTTTGTCCATCTTATTGGCGAATAAAAACCCAGCTGGAACCCCACGACCATAGTCATCAACTAGCATCATAGTAGCCAGTTTCAAATTGTAGCGAGTTGTACAATGCGTATCGTCAATGGAGATCCCAGCTGCGCTATATCTTTCGATGAGTTGGGCCTGTTCGGGTGTGATCACTATGAGACGAAATCCGGCGCCGTCGTTGGTGGTAGGTAGTTCAAACTTTCGGATTCCATCCTCCTCTACTGTCAGCTGATGTCTCAGGATGAGTGATTGGAGATCGTCTTCGTGGAGCCGTCCAGGTTGCATGGCTAGACTTCGTTGTGTATTCCTTACGTCGCTGGCTGAAGTCCAATAGAGCCGGTGACATGGATCCGCATACTGCTTGCGTATCACTCGTGGTACAACAGGTACGGGAAGTCCTAGTTGGAGATAATGTCCGATGGATTGTTTATCTGCGTCCGTCAATGGTAGAATGCAAGCAGATACGTTGTGTCCAACATGTTCTCCACAAAATTTCACACAAACCCCACCCTCATGCTGGATTTTTGCCTAGAAATAGTCATAAATGGATTTCATTGCAATAAGTTGCTGGATAATGAACATTTCCTACCTTCAAAAAAGATGTACAGTAGCGAGTTACTATCTTTGCTTTTTCAACTTG